CAGTAGATTTAAATAAGTACGTTTATACCTTCCATGTATTAGCATGGCTATTTTATTACTTGGCAAAGTTCTGAAATTGAGACCCCTGGTGGCCTAGTGGTTAGCGTGCAGGACTTTCACTGCTGCAACCGCGAGTTCAAATCCCGGTCTCCTGGCCTGATGGAGGTCGTTAGCCCTGTGTGGCCATCCATCTATGAGAAGGACACTCTAAACAAACCTACGTCCTGAGGACCTCACTGCCATTGTCCAAGCTTGCTTGGCCCCGGCAGATGAACCTTAGGATTAAAGGGTGGGCTCAGTTCAGCGCAGGCTGTGTCTCACCTAAAAAATCCATTGCGCAGGCTGGAAAGGTAAAAGACCTTTCCCCAAATCTTCGTTCGCGAAGATGGGCCATTAAAGTTCTGAAATAATTGTGTTTGCTTATTTTGCTTTTACAATTATTTTTACAATTACAAACTATTACTGATGTATTTTAAGAACAATTTGCTTTGTCACTGAATGCTAAAGACAAGTAAAATACTTTGCTTAGAGAAATCTGGAAGTTGTTTTGTTTCTTCTGCCTTGGGAATTACAGATGGTTCAGTATTCTTCATGCTTCATTTACAGACATTGGCCTTTACATACGAATTATTTTAGCCTAAGGATAAAAAACCAAAAATAATTTCAAAAAAAATTTAGAAAGAAGCAGTTCTTGCTTCTTGCCAAATGTCAGTGCATCCTTGAGTTTGGGGAACAGCCTTGTTTTACAGGAGAAAAAAAATTAAGGATGTGCTGGTACCAGTTAGGAACATATTAGTACAACACTAATTATAAACTGGAATGTGTCAGAATGAAATGAGTTATGATCTGGCGAGGATCTGCAAACTATAGTCAGATACTTAATAAAGTTTAGACATGCAGCTGTGAATACTTCTGGATCCTTGCCACCTTTTATTAGTGGCGCCCAGCAATGCTGCTGTAGTTAAGAGTCTGTCAGCATTTCCATTATAAAACCCCACTTTTTTAGGTCTTGTAACTTGCCCATTTTAAATCACATCAAGTTCAAACTTGTCATTAAAATTGTGAGAAATTATTTCTTTTCATAAACAAATGTTAGAGTTTTGATCTGTCTTTGTTTTAGATTCAGAGAGGTAAAGAGAAGTAAGTAAGTGCGTGTCATATTTTATTAGACATTTTATTTTTGCCAAACTTAAAAAAAAAAAAACCAACTCAAAAAACCAACAAAACTACAAAACAGGGCTTAAGTTCAAAAAATAAATATTTTTACCCCTTAGGGCTAATTCTAGGGTTTCCCACTGAAGCATAAGCAGAGAGCACAAAAATGGCATTACATTCTAATGTCTCGATCTACTGTCTTGAATCTGACCTGCAATTTCATATGAACTAACAAGATGGTTTGAATAAAACACCATCTGATTATCAACATTGTGCACTGTGGTTTCTTGTGTTTCTTTTATTGTTTTGTTCACATTTTAAATTTTACAGTAGACTTTTCATTTCACTACCAAATTGTTTTCTATCAAGGCCTCAAGTATTTTAGTCTGATGTTTATACAGTCCCAGAGCAATGCAGATTTACACCTAAGGACCTGATGCTCAGCTGGTTAAACATTTTAAAACAATTCCTTATCACACTGACTTCTCTATTTCTACCTTCTTTCATGAAAAGAAAGACAGGAAAATTACTTGAACAGGTTAGTTTTTTACATCCTTGGTCACCGGTGCCATGTAATGCATGTAACTATAAAAGACATGCAGTTCTAGCCAGGGTTCCTGTGAATTGAGGTTGTATCTCGTTTTTGCACTCTGTGTGCTGTGCAGGTGGTCAAAATAGGAATCAAACAATGAACTTCCTTAGGGAACCTTCACTTTTGTTCCCTTCTCTTCTACTTTTCTCTTAACACATATGAAAAAGAAAAAAAAAAGTAAGTTATTCAGACTGAAATATACCACTGGTTTGTGGTGATCACATAACATCAAAACCCCATGAGTTTTCAGTCTAGATGAGCCTGAAAATCTAAGCAGAAATTGAGGGAGGAAGGGCTTGTAGGGATCAAGAATTATTTTTTTTTTTTTATGGCTGTATTTTGTCTGAGGAACTGTCTCAGTCTGAAAAGACTGGAAGGTTTGCTAAAGAGAATGAGTTATGGGACAAAACAAAACTCCTCTCTCTCAGCAATTATGGATTTAAAATTTACGGGGCTTTACTCGAGGAAAGTGTGGAAAACAGAAAAGATAACAACCCTTTATTAAGAGATATATGTACGTTAGCAAAACAGTTAAAAAAAACCCAACAGTAACAGAACACAACAAAACTATGCAGTGATCCTAGAAAAAAAACAAGGTCTGGTAAATACTTCTCTGTCCTATTAGCGCAGTCCTAATCGTGACCTGCAGGGGGCGCTGTTGGATCGCAGAGGCGCAGAGCCTGCAGTTCGCTGGTGCGGTCGGTAGGGGGCGCTGCCGGGTTGCTGAAAGTGCAGGGCCTGCAGTTCGCTGATGTTGTCGGTAGGGGGCGCTGCCGAGTTCTGGCAGCCTCCACGGGGGGAAAAAAAAAGGGCCCTGGGGCCGGTCCCAGATCACGGGAGTAGCCGAAAGGAGAAATGGGGGAACTCACTGTGGTTTTCCAGGTGGTAGCGTCGCAAGAAGCTCCTCTCTCCTCTCAGCGAGCACAAAGAAAAAAACTCTCCGATAAAACACAGCAGAGTCGGGCCGGGGCCAGGAGGCAGCTCTCAGGCCGAGCTAAAGATCAGCAGTCCGGGCCAGCCAGGGCAGGCAGCCAGGCAGCAAGCCTCCAGGCCTTCTCTCCGGCCAAAGCCCTGCACCCAGACCCTGTCTCCGTCCTCCCCAGAGCGTCCAGCAGCACTGCCCCTCTCCCCTCCGAGCAGAGCCAGCTTCTCCAATCGCCCATTAGCCAGGAATGCAGTCAGGCTGGCTAAATCTAATGTTATGCTAATCGCCTTCTCCCCCTTCCCTGTTTCGTGCTCCTGTTTCTCTTACAGGGGGGCAGGGAAGGAAAAAATTCCCCTCGGATTATAATCTATAACAGGAACAAAGAGCAGCTTTGGTATTTACTGGAAACTTCTCAATAACCGTGTAAATTATTTTTTCCAAGATACAATAGATGACAGACACTTTCACATATTGTGAAGACATCACCTGGTCTCCCCTTTCCAAGTCATGCAGGCAAACCAAAACAAATGAAACGTAATGAAAGCAGAGATGCCTACAGCTTTAGGTATTGGAAATATATCTGTCAGTCCACATGCAGTCCAACAGTTGCAGCTCCATGGCAGCCAGGGCTACTGCACACCAAATCTGGGTATTCTGAGCAGTCTAGGGTCAGAACATATTGCAAGTTCAGCTACCTGACCTGACATTCCCTATGGATTTCCCCTTATGTCTTGCTCCTGTCTCTTTAGAGATGGCCTCTGATCTCTTTAATTGCAGCCATGGTTTATAATCCTAGATTTGGCACGTCCCTGAGTTCCCCTGTATCACGCGTTTCATACCTGTTCTATGCCCTCAACCTTCATCTAAGGCTGGGCATGACTGTTGATATCCTATCTGACAAAAAGATAGACTGATCATTTGGAATTGATTTTGAATTTTAACATGGCAAATTAAGGGTCATGTCAGTGGTCTTAGCAAAAGAGTTATCTAATATGCTTAGCTTTAGTTTGCGCTAGGCTAACAGGATTTCAGGCTTGGTTACTACAGGTCATCTGATGCACAGTAACTGGTTAATCCACTTGTTACCTGATAGTGCATCTGAAACCTACCTTTGAAAATCCAGTCTCAAGTAATCCCTTCTTCTCCTCCAACTCTCCCTGAGCAATCCCCTCATTCTCTCCTGCCCACCCACCCACCCCCCCTGCCCTCCCCCATCGCCCACCACCACCTATCCCCAGTCTCCAAATCCCCTGAGAGGCGAGTATGGTCATTATTTCCTTCAAAGATACATCAGAAACAGATCAAGTGTCTCTAAAACTCCGTGGGTTTCTAACAAGCAAAAGTAATGACTTGGATAGTATCATATCTGAACTACTGCAGCACAAGCTGTGTGAGGTGTCACAAGCAGCAGTAGCAGGGCTCTGTGTTGAAGTTGAGGTTTTAGGGAACCATCATTTCCAGTCAATCCAAAGTCTCACCATTAGAATTTGTAAATTTGGAGAACTCAGAACAGCTGAGTGTCCCAAAGAGCAGTAAATTAGCACCCTTTAAGCAAAACATAACTTCAGCACTTTGCCATGTTGAGTTTCATTAGTCAGCGTCTCTTGTTCATTCCCTTCAAGGGTTACATTCTCATAATTTAATTTACCCCTTTTATTAAGGGGTTCATTCCCACCTTCCTTAGTCCAAATGGAGCAGTTTATTGGCATTTTTGCTCAAGGTATGAAATCAACATGTGGATTTTCAATGTGCTGAGCACTGGGTTGTTATTCAAAGCAGTCCAGGACTACTTATGAGGCAGCTCTTGAAAATCGGGCAGGCTGCGTAAAATACGGAACTATGAAGGTGGCAGCTCTAGCCTCCAGATCCTGGCCATGATCCATGGAGTGCTCTGACAGCCAAGGCATTATGGCACAAACAGCCCTACCATGGTTGCCCCTGCTCACTTGATCCTCCAGTAGGGAGGGGACTCTTACAGTGCCAAAATCACAGAGACAGGCACTCCAATTTTCAGACCACTGAAGCCTGGGGAAAGCTTCTCTTTGGCCTATATATTGTGTGTTCACTCTTCACCTTCAGCCAGGGGGGCATTTTCTAGCCAAGTTCAGAAGAAGTTGATTAAAAATTTTTTTAGCCTGGAAGAAAATAAGAACTGAGGCTGGCTTAAGCTGCAACAAAAGCGTCTGCATTTTTTCTGTATTCATAGTTCGAAAAGTAGCTTAAAGTATTAATATCCAAACATTTCTAGCCCTATAAAGCTGCTGATAGAAGAATGCTAGAGCAAATTATTGGAACAAAAATGTTCTTAAAACTGTAATGCTGACTGACCAGGTAAGCAGGAGCAGTTGCAGTGGAAAAGTGTTGTGTTGTTGCACTGGCAGCCAGCTCCTGGGATCCTTGTCTTAGAACACATCTCCTCATCCTCTCTGCTCAGCAGAGTACAAAGGATAGGCCCATGGCTGGCACAGCCTTGGGCCTGGCATATCCAAGGGCCCACAGGGGCAGGCAGCCTCCTGAGGGGCTCTGGTCAACTCCCAGGGGCAGAACCACTGGTGAGGTGTCAAGCATGACCTTTCGTCTCTCTCCAGTTGCTCATTTTCAAATGACTCTGTGAGACATTTTGCTGTTTCCCTGTCCAGAGCTGCTGCACAAACTGACTTCTCAGTGATGCCATGACAATTCCGTGGTTTCCAAAAGGAACCATTCCTTTGTGGAGATGTGGTGAAAATGAATGCAGAGAATACCTGTTCACGAGGAAGCCAGACCTGGCTGTCTGGGGCAGACAGCACCAAGGGACTCGACAACAGTTAGATTCCAGATCATTGCATGCAGTAGCAAGCTGTAAAGACAAGCCAAGTGCCCACACAATAATTTCCACCAGGAAATAATTTCATCAGGAGCAGTCTATGTGTCTGCAGCAAGTCTGTAGATGGAGCATAGAAGTCAGCCTCTAGGAAAAATAACAGCACAGGAAAGACCACATTGATGCAGTCTAAATACCACCCACTTCCCTGTGGATGATAGAAGAGAAAAAAATTCTGATGTCTTGAGGAAGGTCTAAAGCACAGAGTGACACAGAGATAGTTATTAGAAAATACTAGGCGCAAGAGGCTGTTCAGACAGTGTCCTGGTTAGAACGGCTGGGACCAATTCATCCCTGGATGGGTGTAACCCAAAACTGTGTATTCTATAGCCTTCCATGCCATTTCCCAGGAACTGTTGCCAGTAGAGGCCTGCGAGAAGATGCTCCTGTCCTCATACCCTTTTATGGAATTCCCCGCTCTGATACCCTTCTATGGAATTCCCCACTCTGAGGGAGGGACTGAGTACTCCCGCCTGAACTGGAGAATATATAAACTGGGAGTTTCGGAACCTTTGCACCACTCGTGGGATCCAGAGGAAGACTGCAGACCACCGCTCTCAACCAGACTGAGACCACCACCCTCGACTGGATTGCAATCACCACTTTTGACCAAACTGCAGCAGCTTTCCCACCAGCAGGTTTTTTCCCCTCTCCCTTTACTTTGGACTCGGGGGGGGCCAAGGAACACCACTTTTGTTCATGCCCCAGGGTGCTGGGTTATACATTTGGGTTTTGCGGGTTAAAACCACTTGTCTGTCTGTATAATTGTACTTATTGTATTATTTTAATAAATTGCTATTCTGACTTATAATCTCTCTTTTGAGTTGAGTTCATTTCCCCTGCTGGTTAACTTTTAAACCAGCACAGACAGGCACACTATTCCACATGGAAAAAACAGTAAAAGACAAAAAATAAGTCACCTCTGTGAACATCAATTTCTGCTATCAGTATCATGGGGAACATTTAACTATCATGAATAGCTAATACTTGTTTTAAATTAACATGGCCAGCTTCATTTGCTATATGAAGTCATTGACTTTGTTTTATAGAACCATAGGGAAGGGTACAAATAACAAGGCTTAACACTGCTTAACTCTCATACAATGAAAAAAAGAAATTGCCTGGACCATATCAGTGTATATGTCAAAATATGGGAAATTATTTTCTTTGGAAGGTTTAGTGAAAAAAAGTTGGCAAAGTTGAAAATCCTCACACCTTGAATGCACAAACTGGTGAGCCTATAGAAAGCAACAAGTCACTGAAACAAGTTCTGGTAACACTTTCTAGCAATCTGCCCTATATTCACACTTCCTGGGCGTGAGATGCAAAAGTGAGAAGAATAGATCTATTACAAACCATCAGTTATTCCAGCATTTTAGTCTTTCTTAGTCTGATGAAGCTTTAGTAAAAGACAGTTCCGCCTCTGCTGTGCAAAGCTGTCCCAGGGAAGCAAACAAATAACTCCAGGGCAACTCAATTCATATTTACATCAGGGCCCACTTAAACAGCTTGATTAATGCAGAGAGAGTTAAATAGAAATTTGTGTCACTATAGCCTTGTAACTATTCACACGTTCTCTTTTGCTGCGTCATGTTGAGTGTCTGTAATAACAAAACAACTAGGTGGGAGATACCAAGGAGTCAGCCTGGCTTCTCCCATTTAAAGATACTGCATCGCACTTTGCAATCAGATGTGATTCCCACTTGCAGCTCTCTACACCACTCTGGTGGTTTAGAGGGACTTTGCTCTTCAAAGCTGCCTCCAATGCTGCCTAAATGCCTCACCACACCATTATTCCTTGGCTGCCACAGCATTCCTGAGCAATCCAGAGCTGCTGGCTTCTCCAACAGTCTGAATGTCTTCTTCTGAAGCTTGAAGGGCTCAGCATCTCTGAAGAGGACCACAGTGTTGCAAGACTGAGCTCATTTCCGTGCTGTTTCTAACTGTCATGTAGGTCTGCAGAAAGAGAAACAACAGTGTCACATTCTTGAATGGATCTCATTTAAGGGAAGAATTCAGACTTATGAGAACAGCCACAGTTCGGACATGTGGCTGATTGAAACACAGCCATTTTCTGTTAGGGGAGGCTGGAACTACAAAAGATAGACATGTTTGGTTTTCATTTCATAGATACTTTATTAGGGATTTAATTTTACTACAGTACATGCTTAGGGCAGGCTGTAGATTTGAAGAATTTTGTTGATTTTTTTATGTTCACAAATTAAATGAGTGTCTGATTTCTGCCCCAGTTCATTAGTAGCAGAGTAGTAGATCCATCAGTGTGCTGACCCTCTGTTTTTAACTCCTCTGACCTATTCAGGGGATGGGATCTGGCTACAGCTAAAGGACAGCTACAAGAAAAACATGCATATTCTGGAGTTTAGAGAAAACTCACATCTATGAGAGCTGATGCTCAGGATACTGTGCATGTCACTAATGTCTCCCTTTCCCAGCAGTTACCACCATAGTTTTGAGGAAGCACTAAGAAGTCTGATCAGAGCCATAGACTCGGGCAAAAGCATTTGAAAGGCACAATGGGAACAGCTCCATAACACAACCAGCTCCACCTGCCTTGGCAAAAGTTTCTTGAAAGTGCAGCTGGAATATTTTGGGGCTTAATAAGAATTTCATAAGCTTCACAAACCACTGGGGGTTTTGGTTTTCTTTTTACAGCTTGTAAGTTTCATGACATACCTAGTAAAAGGACACTGCAAAACTCAGGGCAGATATATAAAGAAACAGAAAGCAGCTATGTGCTTGTCTTGTTGCCTAGTAGTCCTCGTGTGCTTGAGCTGCTTCACCACCTCACCTTCTAAATCATGAATGACTCTACCACATTGCTGTGATGACTGGTAGTACTACTGAAACAAACCTTGTTTAACAAGAAATAAGAAGGTGGCAATGAAAGGTGAAAAGGCTCCTAGATGTATCAGCTGCAACATAGCCCTGGTGTGTTGTCTGTTCTAGGATGTTTGTGGAGGCAGGCATTGTTCTACAAAACTTTAAGATGTGAATGTCATTGCCATCTGCAACTGCTGGAACAAGGTAATTGTGGGATTTTTCCATTGTCTGAACATGTGAATAGGTTTGTTTGCTTTTACTGAATGGATGGGGATGTTCCCTTCATGAAGCTTATGTGGAACTGCAATTAGAAGTGCTGGAAATATAATCTGGTTCTGGACAATAGCAAGCAAAAGGTCAGCTTGCTTATCTACTGTACTGCTGTTTCTGGAAACAGAGCCAAATACATGTTTTCAAGAAGTGACAAAGCTACCTATGTGCTGTCGCTCTTCAGAGACCGTAGACCACAGAAGAGCCAGCAGCTGGCAAGTCATAATGTAAGGCCTAACATTGCCATCCGTAAAACAGAGTTCAGCTCCAAAATGCAGATGAACACTTGAATGGTATACAAGATAGCTCTAAACTACATACTATCTTCAGTCATCTGAAATAGGTGCACAGAAAAGACTCAGCAAAGGCTGAGAAAAATCTAAAAAGAGAAATGAAGTTTTTCTTAAAAACAGTTTTTCTTTTGGCCAGGTCTAGAAATCCCTTCCACCTATGTCAAGTACAGCTTGATCCGGAAGGCAAGATATGACTTCAGACAGTGAGAATAATAAAGAACATTTCTTGTATGTTTAAATATCTCATCCTCTATATCTGGAATCTTGCTTTATGGTGAATTTGCCACCGGCTGCCGCATGAGAGGAGCCCCGAAGAGAAGATTCAAGGACTCCCTGAAACAACATCTCAGCCTTGGCCATATTGATCAACATCACTGGTCTACTCTGGCCTCCAATCGGGAGGTCTGGAGACATATTATCTTTAATGCTGCTGATGCTTTTGAGAAAGCACGCAGGATCACCCTTGAGGAGAAAAGACAACGCAGAAAGAATCGTGCCTTGCAGAATATACCACCTAAGGAGTCTTTCTGCTGTGCCTTTTGCAACCGGACATGCCTATCTCGTATTGGCCTTTTTAGCCACCAGCGTGCTTGTAACAAACGTGGGTAGAGCCCCCCCAAACCTTCGTTCGTGAAGCCTAGCCATGATGATATCTGGAATACTGATAGGCTTCACCAGGAGTTTGTGGGTGCTCAGCAGGTGCTCAGTTTTCAGGCTTTTGCCTTGTGTGTTTAATTTTAAAAGTAGTGGAAGAATTTTGTAGATAGAAGCAGCAGGTCACTCATATTAGAATAACTTAGACCCAAAGATGTTTTAGTGCAACTGACAGTAGGACGAAATAGGTCTACTTCAAGCAGCTGATGTTAAAGGGCTTTGTTATTGAACAGCATCCTTACACTAGCTGGTGGGAAAAGAAGAGAATTAGCTACTCACAAAATGGTGTAAACATTGAAATAAATGCAGTGCATTATAATAAGGAAATCTGGGAAGTCTGCCAGTATAATGTTGGTCAAATTGGCTAGTAAGAACAGAGTTAATCCTTGGAACACTCTTCAGTGACCAGAATTAGTTTGGATCTATGAAGCCCTGAGATGTTCATTGTTTCTGCTGAAGCTGTCTTATGGAACAACTACCTAGAGTCCCTGTAATCCACTAACACATTCACTTCTTATATGCTTTTATTACACTCCACT